CTGGCAAATATATCTCTAATAAGACAGAGAGGGGTATTTTTTATATCCACCCCTACATACTTATTAACCCTTAATAGGGAACACATGGGATGGGCGGAAGCATTGTAACATAGCTGTGTGACACAAAAGTGAATCCAAATACAAAAAAAACAAGTCCTGCGCTCAAAATCCCATTAGTCCTGGGCAGCAGCAACGACCATAGTACACATCAGCCCCAAACCTCTCAGGTGGGTCCTACACTAACCATTCACCTTGCTTCCTTGAGCTTCTGGCAAATATATATCTAATGACTCATTAGAGATATCTTTGCCAGAAGCTTAAGGAAGCAAGGTGAATGGCTAGTGTAGGACTCAACTATAAGAAACGTCTGACCTCTGTGATTGCCAACAAGTGTTTTGCCACCAAATACTAAGCTGAAGGGGTCAAATACCTATTTTACTCATTGACATGTAAAACAATTTATAATTTTTTTGACATGCGTTTTTCTGGATTTTTTGTTTTGTTATTCTGTATCTCACTGTTAAAATACACCTACCATTAAAATTATAGACTGATCATTTCTTTGTCAGTGGGCAAAAAAATCAGCAGGGGATCAAATACTTTTTTCCCTCACTGTATACTTAATGTATAACTATGTAAAGGGATACTCAAAGCTTTGTTGCAAGCTATGCTTATTTTATAGGTTATGGTGTAAGAAAACTTCCTTTCTCTGTCTCCCTAAACAGTTGCTATTAACTGCAATTTATGCCTGCCTTTTATCCTCTGACATCAAAGTATCAGTACTTCCTCTCAGTGGTGGTCTGACCAGTTGGAAACTTTGTTAATCGACTGTTGTCAGTCTGTTCATGCCTCCTCCTTTTAACATAATATTATTTGTATAGTGTGCACATGCTGTGTGGTTGCATAAAATGGAAGTTCCCTCTCCAGTTCTCTAATATAGTGCAAACTGCGACTGAGGACCATGCTGTGTATAATTATGTTCATAACTATGTAAATGGAGCTTTAACAAAATGTCATATCTCAGCAATGGTGCTGCCGTAGAGACCAACATTTCTAAAAAAAATAAACAGATTAAGGAACAGCGCACACAAAAATATAGTTTTCAACTGTCATGTGGAAGAGACACATTTAACTCTCTTCTTCGCCTTATTGTTCCTCCTCCACCTACTAACTTGACCGCCTCAGACTTTGCAACTCACTTCACTGACAAGATCTCTATGATCTCTCATCGTTGATCTCTTCTTCTCCTTACAATACTTCCCCTAACCTCACTCCCTCTGCTATGTTCATTCACACCCACTACAGTGGAAGAGGTTTCTGCTCTGCTCTGCTCCAGTCCTCCCGCCCCACCACCTGCTCCCTAGATCCAATTCCCTCACATCTCATCCATACTCTGTCTTCTTGTCTTTCTGTACCTGTCACTAAAATTCTCAATCTCTCTCTCTCCTTTGGCATATTTCCACTGCCCTTCAAACATGCAACTATAGCCCCAATTCTAAAGAAGCCCAACCTTGACCTTAACTCCCCATCCAATTACCGTCCTATCTCGCTACTGCCTTTTCCATCCAAGATCCTTGAAAGAGTTGTGTATGCAAGATTAACAGACTTCCTTGAGTCCAACTCTCTGCTCCTCTTCGGTCTGGTTTCCACGCTAAGCACTCTGTGGAAACGGCACTGACCAAAGTATCCAATGATCTACTTGCTGCAAAATCTCATGGTCACTACTCTATCCTAATTCTCCTTGACCTTTCTGTGACTTTTGACACTGTTGATCATCAACAGCTTATTCTCATCGTCCGCAACATCGGTCTACAAGATATTGCTCTCTCCTGGTGTTCCTCCTACCTCTCCCCACACTCTTTCAGTGTTTCTTTCTGTGGCTCTGCTTCTTCTCCCCAACTCCTCTCTGTTGTTGTCCCCCAAGGTTCAGTCATTGGTCCCCTACTGTTCTACATCTATACTGCCTCCCTTGGTAAACTCATTAGCTCCTTTGGCTTCTGATATAATTTCTATGCAGATGACAAGCAAATCTATCTGTCCTCTCCTGATCTCTCTCCGTCCCTCTTGACTAGTGCCTCTAGCTGCCTCTCTGCTATTTCTAACTGTATGAAATTCAGTTTTTTTCCTCCCTCAAGTGTTGCTACCTCTGTGTCTGTCTCCCTCCAAGTCAACATTGCTACCATCAGCTCCACCACTTAGGCTTGCAGCCTAGGTGTTCTCTTTGACTTCGACCTCTCCTTCACACCTCATGTTCAGTCTATCGGCAAATCCTGCCACTTCCATCTCAAAAACATTGTGCGCATCCGACCCTACTTATCGCCAGATGCGACTAAGATGCTGGTCCATTCCACTGTCCTTTCTCACCTTGACTACTGTAATCTGCTTCTCAGTGGTTTTATGTACTCCCAACTTGCGCCGTTACGTTCCTTAATGAGCGTGGCGGCGAGGCTCATGTTCCTGTCCGCCCGCACCATCCACGCCTCACCCTTCTGTCAGTCCCTACATTGGCTTCCTGTAAGATATAGGGTTCAATTTAAAATTCTGGTTCTTGCTTTCAAATCTCTACATAATGCTGCTCCCACCTATCTATCCTCCCTAATACATAAGTATGTCCCGTCTAGGCCCATACACTCTGCTGAAGACTTATGTCTATCTTCTGTCTGTACTCCCATCTCTGATGCTCACCTTCAAGACTTCTCGAGGGCTGCACCATTCCTGTGCAACTCACTTCCCTCCTCCGTCAGATGCTCACTAAGTCTCCACTCCTTCAAAAAATCATGAAAAACCCACATAAAAGCGTATCAATTAAACTGATTCCTCCCTGGCAACTGTCATTAGTCTAATACTATACTTACCTTTTGTGTCACTTTACCCCACTCCCTCTAGCATGTAAGCTCATTGAGCAGGGCCCTCTACCTCTCTGTTCTTGTGTGTCCAACCTTTCTGGTTACAACTACATGTTTGTTCGTCCACCCACTGTAAAGTGCTGTGGAATTTGATGGCGCTAAATAAATAATAACATAATAATAATAATAATAATAATAATAATAATAATAATGAGATACACAGAGGGGTTAGGGAGGAAGAGACACATAAAAGGTTTGAGGGGAGAGAGATACAGAGAGGCTGGGGGAGAGACACAGAATGGGGTTAGGGAAGGGGAAAATAGGTAACAGTTCCCTGTGCAGTCTTCTCGAGAACTTACCACTGGACTGATCACCTATTCCATTTGTTGTGCTTCGAGAGATTTATAATGTTCCCTGGGTGACTGGCTGATGTGCCTTGAAAGGGTTCATGCCATAACCTTTCAGTGTAAAGCTTGGGCTGACCAACAGGGGGGGCCTGCAGGGTGCACAAACTGACTGCTCACTTAAAATATAAATGGTAGCACACTCAATACTCCACCTTCACGTAGTGCTTTCTCACTTTTTCTTACCATCTAACTCCCAAAAATCCCAGCAAATTACCATCCTTGAAGCAAGATATAAGTTTGACTGGAGACTGTCATGCATACAATACCTAGGTAATAAACTTTATATTGATATACTATGGTTAATTACTAGAGTTGAAAGAACCCTGACAGTAAAGTTTGGGTTCGTAACGAACATTACGTTTTTTGGCTCCCGGACTCGAACACGGACATATCAGTGTATGTTCTGGTTGGAGTTCGGTGTTCGGCGATTTAATGGCGCATTTTGAAAGGCTGCAGGGCAGCCAATCAACAAGCGTTTGACTCGTGTGCCCTTAGAAGCCATCACAGCCATGCCTATTAATGGCATGGCTGTGATTGGCCAGTGCAGCATGTGACCCAGCCTCTATATATAAGCTGGAGTCGCGTAGCGCTGCACGCACATGAGCTCTTATTAGTGTAGGGAGAGGATGCTGCATCTGTTAGGGACAGATTAGGAAAGAATTCTGGTGTTGAATCTGCAAACTACAGTGATTATTCAAACTACAGCGATTATTTTTGTGGGTGCTATAATACTACATTTTTGTACCCTTCCATGAGCCCAGTGCCACAGAGAGTACCAGGCACATTACTTTAATCCTGTTCTGGTAGCTCAGTGGGCAACATCTAGGCATTTTTAAATACTGCAATTTCTATGGTGCTAAATAGTACATTAGCGTACTGCATTTCTTGGAGTCCAATAAAACCCTTAAATACTACTGTTACATTGTTGGTTTAAAAAATCTAACTTTTTTGTGTTAAAAAGTACATTTGCGGCCTGCGGTGCACTTCATATTTGAGAGTCAAATAGAGCCATCAAATATTGTGGTTACAGCGCATTTTTAAACATTCAAATAGTTTTGGTGCTAAATAGTACATTTGGTGTGTGCACTTCATATCTGAGAGTCAAATAGAACCGTCAAATATTGTGCTTACATTGCAGTTTTAAAAATTCTAATTCTTTAGATGCTAAAAAGTCAATTTGGGGCCTGCACTTCATATCTGAGAGTCAAATAGAACCGTCAAATACTGTGGTTACAGCACATTTTAAAAAATTCTAATTCTTTAGGTGCTAAAAAGTTAATTAGGTGCCTGCACTTCATATCTGAGAGTCATATAGAACCATCAAATACTGTGCTTACATTGCAGTTTTAAAAATTCAAATTCTTTAGGTGCTAAAAAGTAAATTTGGTGCCTGCACTTCATATCTGAGAGTCAAATAGAACCATAAAATACTGTGCCTACAGCGCATTTTTAAACATTTTAATTCTTTAGGTGCTAAAAGGTCAATTTAACATTAATAATATAAAAAAAACTAATAATTTAATTATCAATGTGTAAAATATGTTTTAGGACTTTGTTTTTTGTTCTTATAACTTTAAGTAGAGAGATGCATTTCCAAATTAATCCTCTGGTACAAAATTTATATGTACTGTTGGTATATGACTAATTGTTCTGTATTCAATTCTCTTTCACTTTTGTATTATATTCCTGCAATATAACTGCTTTTTGAGCATTAAGGGCTTGATGTGGAATGCATGTGAATACAGTAATGGAACGCATAGACGTTCAGGACGTTCAAACCGGAACCGGAAGTGATGCGCGAAACCGGAAGGAGGATGTGGAACGCATACATGATCTGGTGGAACGCAAGCCGCATGGACCCTCGCAAATCTACACCAGTAATTGTATTCACATGCCAGCGCTAACAACGAACCTTTGGGATCTTTTCACCACTCTGTCCACCAATGAAAGTCATCCGGAGTTCAGCTACACCTGATTGATATTCAATCAACTCCATTTGGAATATGAATTTTATGGGACTGGGGGGAGGGTGGTTTATATGCATGTTTATTTCATGTACTACTGTCTATTTTTGTTTTTATACTCTAATGAAACATCACATTAAGAAGAGCAAATGCTTAACCCACCTCTTCCCCACAACTCTTTATTACTAGAGTACATTTAAAAAAAAAAAATATAGATTCCAATACACTGGAATTAAAAAAATGAAGTATCTTCTGTAATTTAGAAATTAGCACAACAAGCGGATCTTTTTACGAAATTTCAAAATAACTTCATGGAAATTCAAACTGAGAATCTTCAACTTAAATCTAAAATTCAAGTTTTGGAATTAAATATCTCAGATCTGGAAGACAGATCTGGAAGACAGGAAAAATCTGAAAATAAGAGGGATTCCTGAAAGTGTCAAAAATCAACAACTAGAAACGTATTTTATAGTTCTTTTTTCTACAATAACATATTTATCCTCTTATGGGGCACATCCCTTAGAGAGATTTCACAGATTAAGGAAGCCAAAAGACTTATCAGCTCCAAGACATACTATAGTGAGATTTGCAAATTATCACATGAAAGACACAATAATGAAACAAATAAGGAAAATACATTGAAAACTGAAAAATATAAAGACATCAATTTTTTCTCTGGTTTTTACTAAACTTAAGATTGTAGAAACTAATAATAAGTTAATTGTTTAAAATATATCACAATTGATTATGTATTTAACAATGCACTTAAAACAAGTAATAGTAAATACACAAGTAAATGGAAATTTAAGGGATAAGAAATTAGTAAGATAGTATTGGGAAATTTGAATAAGAAGATTGAAAGTGGGGAGAAGGAAAAAATGATCGATTGAAAATTGATGGATATATATGATCAAATTAATTGATATATATGATAAAAGGGAATATCTTAATCCAAAGTAAATAAGCACTCATGAAAAAGGATAACACACTAGAAAGAAGATAAAAAAAGTTTTGCACAATTTAAATTTCAAATTTTCACCTATGTTATATCAAAAAGAGCATTGTAATAGTTACTTTGAAATGAACAAAGGGATTTATATATAGAAGGAAGAATATAGAGTTGGTTGAGGCTAAGGATGGGGGAGGGGAAGGAGAGAGGAGAGAAAGTTTTTATTTTTTATTTTATTATAATTTTTTTATTTACATATATTTTGGTTGTATTTTCTTTACTTCTCTTCGAACTGGGAGGAGAGAGGAATATAAGAATTAGAAACAGAAATTGAAATGAAAATAACTCAAGGAAATATTTTTTTAGAAAGCTGGTACACCTTTAGTGTGACCTAAATTGGAAATAGGTCAGACCAGAAATGAGTTTTCTGATTACACACAGTGTTTTTTCACCGTATGAATGTCGAATGGATGTTTTATATGTTAGAGGATATTTGAAGTTTTTTGGCAATAAAATTTTTTCAGAGAGAATTGGTACAAAGATACGAAGAAGTAGGGCCAATATCTCTAATGGGAAAAAGAAAAAGCGAGGGGTAGCTATTATAATTTGTAAGAAACTAACATTTGAGCTGATCCTTGAGGAAATGGATAATAATGGTAGATATGTTATTCTGATTTGCAAAATTAACAATATTTTATATACATTAGTAAACATATATTGCCCTAATCAGTCTCCTACAAAATTTCTTGAAAAATTAATGAACAGAATGGATCAAATAACTCAAGGCACTTTAATTCTAGGTGGTGATTTCAACTGCGCACCTGACGTTAGATTAGTTTTTTTTCCCCAAAAACTCTCTATATGACATCTGGAGAGTATTACACCCCAAGAGAACGAGATTATACTTAAAAAAACCCCAAAAAGGTACACTGTTCATAGAATAGATATATTTGTTTCTAAACAACAAACATTATATAAATGTTCTTCCTCAAGGATCGGACACACAGACAGAGCCCACAGAGCCCTGCGTCCACGAGGCACCCAATTAGATCTCCCTTGTGATGTGGTCTGCAGACTGCACTACTTTGAGTGCAAAAACAAGGTGCTTGAGGCCCTGCGACACTCTCAGCAACCACTGTTATTCTATGCAGCACCTATTGCAATTTACCCAGACCTATCCTGACTAACATTGCAGGCCCGCAGAGCACTGAAACCTATTACTGACCAACTCCATACTAGGAACTTAAGGTACCATTGGGGCTTTCCCTTTTCCCTCATCGTGACATACAAGGGCTCTCCCAGCACCATCACATCGATCAAAGATGTACTGGTGTTCCTGCGTGAACTAGACCTGCCAGATCTCCAGATCCAAGAATGGTATGGCCCCATCCCTCCTCTGATTTTACAGAGACTACCACAATGCAACCGCTGGCAACAGACCCCGAAGAAGAGGAGAACTGCACCAGCGGACAGAGCGGCTGGTGACCCAGCACACAACCTCGTCCACCACTAGACACTAGGTGACCTTCCCGCAACACAGTTTGGCTGGTGGACTGTCACATACCCTTACCTCTCTCCCACCTTATCCAGGCCGATGAACTCCCCATACACCGAGCCCAAGTGCTTCCGGACATCCCTGTCGGAACCACCTCCACTACGTTACCACGCAGCAGTTCAAGCGCATCTCCGGACAGAACGTGAAACCTGCAACTGAAACAATATTTCCTCTGCCCACTCACGCAAGTATCCATCACCCTTGGACACTGACAGGGTCTTACCATACAAGTGCCATGACTTTCTGATCACTTTCCCCCCCCATGCTCCCCTCTTTCCTATTTTCCCTACAGCCCTTGCCTTCCCCTATGAGAATCCCCTTTTCCCTCCTATCCCAAGCTGTACTGACGGAGGTATATTCGGAGGCTTACGCTACGGACCAAATGCATAGACTGCCTCCCTTCCGTCCCCTGGGGCGCCACCCCTTTTCCCTCCAGTCCCCCCCCCCGAACAGTGGTTCACTTACCGTCTGGTGGAACAAACGATTCTGTCTCCCTCTCTGCCCGAGTAGTCAGGTACGGCCAAACCCACTCCACTCCCTTGAAACCCCTCCCGATCAGGCAAATGTTGAGGGGGGTGAAAGGTTACCATTCCCCATAGATGCCAATGTATCACACAACCCACGGATGGCCGCAAAGCCACTCACCCCTAGGACTACCCCTAGACTTCTATCCTCCTTCTCCCCCTATCCACAGTCAAGTGCATAGTTCAGGGGCTTCATGGTACTTATGTCTAGACATATGCTGTGAGTAACTGGTATAACTGTAATTTCTTTATGCACTATTTAATAATTATTATTTAAATATTATTTATGTGTTTATGCTTTCACTGACTGGCTGCTCTGGAGCTGAAACTCCACTTTCACCAATACTCTGGCAACCTTTCCCTTGGATATCCGCGCCCGACACCAGGGTAATCCACAGCTACTCCCAACTCCCAGGTAATACCACATCCTCACAAGGTCTCTGCAGATATAATACACACCTATGCCTGGAGGAGACTAGTGAGACCACATACCCGAACACTCCCCACACTCTCATGGCATGCCACAGTCCAAAATCCCTACTGTCCTCTTCCAAGACATTGCCTCTCTCTAATCATCCTATTCTAAATACATGGATTTGCTTTCGAAAGTTGATTTTCTAAAACCTCTCAAACTAGCCCGTCACACAGTGAAGCTGCACTGACACACACCCACCTTACATCACCCTCGGAGAACACTTGGCTCCAGATCTAGGTCCAAGAGACCTATCCCAGATGCACATTTGATACCCAGGTGGCCCTGTTACCCCACTCAGGTCACCAAGGGAATCCCCCGAGCAGTCTACACCCCTGCTGTTCAATACAGTTACTGTAGACGGCGTACCTCTCTGCACATAGTTAAAGAAGTTTACACCCCTCACATCCTCCTCTCCCATCCTCTTTTAAAACCCATCCACAGTCCTTGACGGGGGTAACCGGAGTGGGACCTACCCTACAGAACTGCTTCCCAATGGCCACCATATGTATTGTTACACTTAATGTTAAAAGCTTAAATTCCCCCGAGAAACGTTCACTGACACTCAATGAACTCCACAAACAAAGGCAGGCATAGCCCTCCTCTAATAGACACAGTTTAAAAAACCGCAGCCCCTTCTCTCCTCAATTGGAGATTTCCATCTGTTTACTTCAGCAATTTTACTGACACCAAAGCAAGAGGCGTAGCGATATTGCTGTCCGCTAATATGCACATTACATACTCTGCACACAAGACAGATGACACTGTCAGACTCCTCCTGGCCAAGGGCCTGATTGGCCAAACCACAGTCACACTAGCTAGCATATACCTCCCCAATAAACACCAATGCAAAACCCTCAGGAAATACCTCAAAACCATAGAACACATTGCGGTGGGTATCCTGATCTTTGGAGGCGATTTTAACCTCTCCCTAGATCCACAAATGGACACGACATCACATACAACAACATATCAAACATCTGCGTGCCAACAACTGACAAGCATGCTAGACCAAGCTCAACTGTCAGGTATAGCATGGCATGTATTTCGCCGTCGGAACCCACTTCCGGGTTCACAGCGCTTAGCCCCGCCCCTTTTCTCTGACGCGGTCCCTCCACGATACTTAGGAAGACCGCGCCAGATTCAAAGGGCTGGATTATTCGCACAGGTGCTGCAGAGAGATCAGCTGCTCTACTTTGATTCTACCTGCTCCACTTCTAGACCTCGGCTTGTAAAACGGATTTCTACCTTCTCCACTTCTCGACCTCGGCTTGTAAAACGGATTTCTACCTTCTCCACTCCTAGACCTCGGCTTGTAACACTGAATTCTACCTTCTCCACTCCCAGACCTCGGCTTGTTAAAACGGACTTCCACACTCTCCACTCCTAGTTCTCGGCTTGTTAAAACGGACTTCTAATTTCTCCTCCATTGGGTGAATTAACCCTTCCAGTGCCAGAACTGCCTTTAAGTTAAGTAAAACTTTTGCCAAACAAGCCAATTCCTATTATTT